GGAGTAGACAAGCGGAATCCTCATTGCGCAAAAATTTACGCCCGCACAAAGAGAGAGGGATCACACCAATTTTGAATGGCGACTGGCACCGATTCTGTGATTTAGCTCCGGCGTTTCGGCACGCTGGGTGTACGCCTCACCATGTGGATCGCACTCTTCAGCACCCTCCCACGTGATGTGGAGCCAAAACAAAACTACGGGGCGCACGAAAGCACATGTTGATTCATACCCCGTTGTATGCAATACTCGGTGCCCGGTTAGACACATGAGCTCAGATTATTTTTCAATTGAAAAACTGCACCCGCCCACCCTCCGCGCAGTTTGTCTGTACACCGTTACGCAAAGTATGGATTAAATGCTGGCCTCGTTTGAAGGCAACAACGAAACGCGGGCGGGACTTGAGTGCAGTATGAATTCTCTCTTGCCAGTCATGTAGCCACTGACGGATGCGCATGCACTCGAGGATTGGATGGAATGTCATGCACAAAGCAACGCACCGTTCACGGGAAAGTCCGTTTTGCTGTAGCAAAGTGGCTCTTCTTGTGTACTGGCAAACATCTCGGGAAAAGACTTGCATGATGAAAGGCTTACCATATCCGCATGCACATAAGCGTTCCATGAAAGCATCACGAACTTGTAAGAAATCTTCAAGATGGCTGTTGGTGACAATGTACCGCTGCAATTCCTCTTGGATCCAACTTGAGAAAATGCTTGGCGCGTGACATGACCAAGGCGGAATGTATCTGAACAAGTTTGTGGGTTTGAAATGAGTACTGAGCCTGAGCCGTCCATCTTGAACTCGAATGCTCAAGTCGAGGAAAGTCACCTCATCTTGGGACCATTCCCATTTGCAAACATACCGCGGATTGGCAGTTCCAAAAGCTTGTTCAAAAACAAAACGTTCGTCATCAGGACCTGTCCAAATGACCAAGCAATCATCACGGAAACGGCCATACCACAACATGTTGGACTGAATGTGATAGGATACTTGCGGATGGTGATCCAGAGTCCGGGACGCAACAAGATCACATACTTCCGAAGCGCATGCTAAACCCTGTCCAATCTTCAAGCAGCGGTATGTAGAATCACCGGCTTTCACAAACTGGTTGTTCAGCACGATGGCCAAAGCTTCAACGATTGCATGAATGTCATGCCTTTCATGTGCATCCCGATTTTCAACCAACTCGGCATTTATGATTTCACAAGCTTGTGTAGGGCATGTAGACGGATAAAAGTCCTTGATGTCGCCAACTCCTAGCCACGCGTGGTGTGGAACAGGTAGTCCATCTAGGGCAGTTACCACCTCACGTGTGCATGTGACAACTGAAGGTTTGCTGGCAACGATTGGACGCAAATGCCTTGGCAACACCTTGGCCAAAGGAGTTAGTGGAGAAGGCGTTGTTGGTGTAATGCAACGAGCGGATTGGTGAGCTTTGTGGGATTTCCATGTGTACTCAATGTTGTGCACAGGCCAGTCCTCAAATGCAGTTTGATTCGTAAGAAGATCGGCCACCCTTTTCGGGAGTCGCAATCTGGAACAAATGTGATTGACAGCCAAGAATACCCCCAATCTATCAGGCTGTTGGAGAGCAAACTGCGTGGGATCACTGGCCAAAGCAACAGTCATCTCGAGCTTGAAATCACGACGCATTGGGATGAGGCTGTTGCCTTTATCGTCTTTCACCACCACAAAACCGTTAACTTGCAGCCACCAGAGGCCTAGGCGGTCCATCACGTCAAGGTTACTGTGAGGCTTGAACTTTGTCACCGCAACAGCAAACTTGGATCGCATATCATTGTGCATGGCAGTGAGCGTCTCATCCAGCATCGGACACGTAGAAGGCGGTTCCCAAGTGGAGGGGGCCGTCAGGCCAGCCCATCGCAGTGTAAAATTATCGCTGGCACTCACCGTCTTGCCATGATCATCAAAGAAATGGCGAATCAGAATTTGACGTTTGAAGGAACGCATGGCAGCATCAACGTCATGCATGAGAGGTAGCGTACGGCGACCAATAATGAATTTGAGACCTTTTGAAAGTAAGTGAGCAACACAATCAGGAATGCCAACTGATCTCCGGGCCACTGTAGTCTTCTGGGTGTGGTCAAAGCCCAACACACCCAGGTCCAAGTCCCCAGTGAAATATCTGGTAGCGCATTCCCAGGAAAATTGTTGAGAAAGTCGAGAAAGGAAGTGCTCGATGAAACAAGGCATGGAACATGTGGCTAACCACTCATTTCTGTGACGAGGCCGGCCTGTTTGTAGCCTCCTCGCCCGACGAGATGTTTCAATCACCATGCTCCGCGCCATCCTCCTCCTGGCTCGGGACGGAGTACGTCGTTGAGGTGGATATCCGGCACGGCTGCTCATCTGGCGAGAATTCCAGGATGGTTGCCGTGCCGCTGAAGCTAACCCCTTTCGCTTGCCCTTGCCTCGGTCTTGCTTACCTTTACCCTTGCCCTTGCCTTTCTGTGTGCACTGGGCGCGCGGCTCCTCGATTTACCTTTACCTTTCCCTTTACCCTTATTGGGGACTTGGGGGTAAAACCCGTTGGGATTATAGCCCTTGCCTTTACTCGTACCTTTAGGCTGATGTCCGGGAAGACGAGAAAGAGAACGATGATGCCTGTGTCCACGTCCATCTTTGCCGAGTCCTTTTCCAAACTCAGCCTTGAACGCAGAGATCTGACGGCTTAGGGCTTGCTGTTCCTTGCTGTCGAAGCAGAGTCGTCGGTATGCTGGAACTGATTTGCCACGAGTCATCATCTGGGAGACCTTACTTTCAATCATGAGTTCAAGCTGGGCCTCTTTAGGTAACGAAGTGAGTGAATGCACTTTGGGCTGCTGTTTGCTTCTCAGTGATCTTCTCCTGGTTCTGATTGTGACGCACACGCTTGGAGGCTGCGGCAAACAAGATGTGCTCAAAAGACATTCTGGCAAATCGTTTGGCTTCCTCAAACCAACTCTCATATCCAAAGTCCAAATCTAAAGCCATTGCGCGCAACTCATCAACGATCTTGTCAAGCTGCGCCTTGATTGATTTGTTGTAGGCTTCGAGGCTCACTTTGGCTTTGAAATGTTCAACCACTGCTTCTTTGACTTTGACCATATGATCTACCTTCGTGGCCAGCTGCGAGTCCTTGAACGAGTTGATGACTTCTTGGGTAGTACGGCCTGCAGCTGGACCATCTGGCACTGGGAAGGCCACGCCTAAGACACATTTTGGTACTGAGAAGGAGTCCGCAAAATGCGGAGCCTTGCCTGATTCCTTGAATTTCTGATACTCTTCCAGAACAGACTCGAACTGCTTGCGGGCGCTCCACAAAGCGCCGACGTCACGTCGCAGTTGGTCATGATGTTGGTATAGCATCATCTGGAAAGGCTTCTGGATGGATTTGAAATCGAACGCGAACATTTGAACTTCACTTAGTTGATGATCTTCAACATTCTCATCACGCATCGCTTCATCTTCAGCCTGCATCTCACCCCGGATTACTGCACGCCTGCCCTCACTGTCGGCAGCATGACTATTGGTAATCCTTTCATGTCGAAGATCGGGTACTTTGGAATCACGATTTGCTTGGCGCCACATTGGCTATGCCTGCTCTCTGATGAATGAGACTCACGCCCGCACAAAGAGAGAGGGATCACACCAATTTTGAATGGCGACTGGCACCGATTCTGTGATTTAGCTCCGGCGTTTCGGCGCGCTGGGTGTACGCCTCACCACGTGGATCGCACTCTTCAGCACCCTCCCACGTGATGTGGAGCCAAAACAAAACTACGGGGCGCACGAAAGCACATGTTGATTCATACCCCGTTGTATGCAATACTCGGTGCCCGGTTAGACACATGAGCTCAGATTATTTTTCAATTGAAAAATAAGCTGAGCCCTGTTGGGGCACTGGCCGAATGGTGTCCGCAAAGTAAACAAGGTGACGTCCACCGATTACCCCCCACATGTGAGGTATGCAATCTGCTGTACTGGTTTCTCGTGTCTTCAATGATGAGAATGACAAGAAGGAGAGGATGATAGTATCAACTTTGGGTCAGATTGCTTGGAGTAGACAAGCGGAATCCTCATTACGCAAAAATTTACACGCGCCTCATCCTGAAGACTCACATGTCTATTCGGCCCCGTATACGGCTATTTTCCCCGCAGGACAGTGGCCAACACTAACTTGATTCCTGGATTCCCCGCGTGTGCTCGAGGTTGTGTACATCACATTTCTTGAGATAGCCATAGGCAAGCCAAGCTCTCTCCGGCAAGTCCGTCGAACTTCCCGCTGCGGTTCGAAGGACGAGTCTTTTTGCATCCAGTACATGCAATCCATGACTTTTGTCCAGTGATCTTGGGATGTGTAAGCATGATTTAGGAATTTGACTGTCAACCACCTAACCCCTCGAATCTAGACCTTGAATCCCAAACCGTTGAAGACCCTTGCATTGCATGTGTCCCGAAGTCCTGAGCTGCAAAGTGTGATCCCTTAAGGCTGCGATGAAAACCCTGCAGTTCCAGCAGTTTTAAACGCTACATAAGCCGCAAGACATGTCAAGACCCCGAATCCCGAAAACACCCTGCAGCCCCATGTGTCTCCATGAAATTCCGGTACAGTCAGTAAAAAACCCGAGACTTTAGAATCCTTATCTAGCCCTTGTATGACCCGTGGGCTTGCTCTACATATCCCTTTAGAGCCCCCTATTTCTAAAATCTTCCCTCAACCAAACCCTGGCGAATGTGTAAGAGAGTGATTGGGATTATGATCCCGCTTCCATTCAAAACAGTAAGCAATGTGTGGAAGGTGGATCAACGAGCCACTGCGGGCCAAAAGTCTCGTGAAATTGCAGGACCGAGCTGAGCTAGGTAGGGGAAACCCCAAGTTGCAGAAATCTGTTATGAAACCTCCTGAACTCTAGACCATGTCCGAATGCACCTAAACGGAGCTGACAAGAGCATTACCATATGGGTGGTTGTCAAAATTACGGTCCCTTTTTGGGTACCCTAAATATTAGGTGCCGTATTATAATAGGGACCCAAAAAAGGGCCATAATTTTGACAACCACCCATATGGGGGGAGGTTTTCAAACAGACGGGGGCCCTCAGCGAACTAAGACATCTGGGGATCATTTTCGGGCTATGGGTTCCCAAGTAAAGATTTTATTTCTATTGGCACAATTTTAAGAAGCTCCCTGTAACATGCCTATTCCAACCGAAAGCCAGAAAAGATGTCAGAGTGGTTGTAGCTTGGCCGGCATTGCGTAGGAGATATCGAAAGGAAATCATATATTCTGATTTGGTGTCCCTATGATCCTCATTGTTGGGCATGTGTATCAATCAGGCCACCTAGTGTCGAGAAGGCTGACATCATGTAGGACCCGAAAGCATCTGTTTGCAGGGTAGGCGGCAAGGGGTTACTGTAGAGAGTTCTGATTACAGCCCATAGCAGGCAAAGGTCTTTGTCTGCGTGGCACTTTGGGAGAAGTGTAAATTTCCCCTTGCTTTGTATGCGGACCTATTTATCATTAATTTGGCTGGCCTCTCAGGCACTACCCAGTTGTACAAGCTGTTCAAAGCTTGGAAATCTTGTAATCCCTTCCTGTAATACACAAAATTCCCCACTCCGGCCCATCCCTAAAGAAACTCCCCTGTCATGTTATGTTGGTATTATGTTGGGGGTATTATTAGGGGGAGGTGAGTAGATCGCCAGGAGCGACTTGCTGGCGACCTCAAAGTCTTGGAGAGCACCGTGCCACCTGGCACATGTGTGCTTAGGAATTCAAGGCCTCGTTAGGAATTCAAGGGCGTTGTGGCTGCATGTGGAGGTGTGACTCAGTTGCCCTACACTCCTACCCTCTGCAGAGGTTTTTGGCAGAGGATTTTGGTCTTTAAACCCTCAATCCCAAGAGTCCGCTATAAAACCTAAAGGCCTACGGCTCGTAAACCCACAGAGCCGCACAAGGAGGGGCCAGTTGCAACTTAGCTAGAAGGTGCAGATGGCATGTAACCTGGCAGTGAGCATTGGAAGTTGAGCTATACCGTTCGTGCTATCTGTCAGTTTCTTTCGCCAAAGGTCCAGCATCATCCAAAAGCGCGTCGATGAAGTCCAGCGCACCGTCGCCGTCCCGCTGCGGAAGGCTACACATTTGCGTCATGGCAGTAGACAGCCAGCCAGAACAAAGCACTCAAACAGTGAGCACGGATAGCACAAGTACCAATAGGAATGTTTGTCATGTGACTTCTGGCCTCTTGAAAGGGAGCATTGCACCATCCAGGAACCGCAGGAAGACCACTAGCGTTGTGACGACAGTTGTCTTAGCAAAGCCGCTCTGGATCCTCATGAAGCCGAATTCCCCATACTGGCCCGTAAGACTAGCACTTGCAGCCTGTCAGGTCCATGCGATTGCAGAGCAGATGCAGAGCAGCCCGGATTAAAACACACGAAGAAAGTCCTAGGCTGACACCATCCATCAGAAGTCCAAGAACACCCTGAGTCCTCTGCCAACAGGAAGCCTCAAGGGACGTAGGCCTGGGTTATTATGAGCACTACCTCCAATCATGGAGGAACAGCAAGGCCCGTCTCACAGGAGCCTCGCAGTAATTGTAGGCATCGTCAAGGTCCATGACGAACTTTCAGAGATGACACGTTCCCGTATCCTGGTTGATGCTGATATACCCTCAGCCTCAAATTCTTGATGCTGCATCGTGAAGATTCCATGAGAACCTTCAAGCTGAATCTCAAGCCCAGAAATTGATATTCCCAAAAGGAAGCTGAAGATCCCACAAAAAACATAGTTACTTCGAGCATCCCCACCCTAAAGCCATTATTGCACAAGAAGTGTAACGTTTCCCTGCCCCCCTCAACTGTCTTCCTTGCAGCACTGCAAATTCGCTGCAAGAATATTGATACTCTGCTGTTCGGCACTCCAAGGATACTCTGCGGTTGGGCAGTGCAAGGATACTTTGCAGTTGGGCACTGCAGGGATATTTTGCGGTTGGGCACTGCGAGGATACTTAGTGGTTGAGCACTGCAGGGATGCTTTGCGGTTCGGCAGTGTAAGGATACTCTGCGGTTGGGCACTGCAGGGATACTTGGTGGTTGGGCACTGCACGGATACTTGGTGGTTGGTCACTAAAGTCATCTTCCAG